AAGAAAATCACAAAGACACATTGTTATTTCCTGGAGTACACATCTCATTAGCCCTGACTGATTAAATGAGCATTCTGGTTGAATGACTAAGGGACTAATTTGACCACTCTACTTCTCTATCTTTGTTTTTTCTTTACATTCCCTACAAAATCAGAGCACTACCTTTTCGTTCCAAATTTACTCAGGTGGAAGGGTTATAGTTTTCATTTACTTAATGAGAACATTTAGACTAAAGATATTTCTTAATATCCAAATAATTAGGATTATGACAAAGAAAAAGTTTTATTTCTAACTTAAATTTGAGAATGGAGTATTTCTTTAACGTCCTATAAAGTGCTTGTTTTAAAATTAGATACAATGCAATGATATTTTATTAAGTTATTCTTATCATTAGAAATAATTTGGATTTATATGATTAAGTGCTACTTTCCTTATTAAAAGTTTAAACCTTATATTTTTCAAAAAAAATTGTCATATTTATAGGATATTGTAAGGTTATTTTAGCAATTTTAACATAAGACTAAAGTTAATGTATTCCATGAAAATATATGTAGTTAAAAAACTTATATGCACATTCAATGCTCAACTAGTGGTAAACATTTCATTTTTCACCTAGCCTCTTTTTCATTTGGTTAGAGGATTTACTTGAATAGTTTCTACAGATTTGCTGCATGGATAAAAACTTACAATACTTGCAAATCCTAAATGTCTTTCTTTAACAAAAATTTTAGGAAAGACAACATGTTTAGTTATAAAATCAGGGCTTACAGTCCAATTTTTTTAGAATGAACAGATTTTCTCCACACAAACAATTTTTGTAGTTTCATAGATTGAAGAGTCAAGTATTCAAAGTCTCATTCTATTATTTAAAAAAAAAAAAAATCAAGTTTTTCTATTCTTCACAACTTTTTTAGAGATTTGAATTTTTCCCATATTATCCCTTAATTTCCCAATATTTATCATTATATGTTGAGACATGTATCATTTCTGTCTTCAATTTTCAAATTTGTGAAAACTGAGTGCTGAAATCTCAATGAAATTGTCCATTAAATTTGAGAGCTCAGATATAAACTGGTGATCAGACCTCAAAACAAGTATACTTGTCCTCCTCATTATAGTAATTCATGAATAAATAAAATCACCCACTGAAGTTTCTTTCCAAAAGTATGCATAATTGAAAGTAATATCATGATTACACAGACTTGAGCCCCTACATGACTCTTTCTTAATTTGCCATATTTGGGTATGTTTCTATCTCCTTTATAATGTGTGTCCCTGAATGTAATATTCTACATATGATCAGTACAGCATTGAGATCAATAGGACTAAGAACAGATTCCTTCCACCTCTTTCCCATCTACCAAAAGACTGGTTTCTTTAGCAGCTAGGTCCATACAGTGTTGATTACAAAGCAGTGTTGATTCAAAATGATGCTAAAATTGATGAAAATACTAATTTTATAGCTGTTCCTAATAATCCTGGAGTGGTACAGTTCTTCATTTTACCTAAACCTGAGAGTTTAGAGTTATCACTGTTAAGTTTCATATTCTTAGATTCAACTTTGCTTATAGCATTCTTTTTGGATGGAGAATTTGTCCAAATTCAGATTTACTCTCATCATCCCCAGTGTCATTCCAATTGTGAATTTGTATTATGTTTCTCCTAACGTGCTAGACTATTTAATGACACAAATCAGTAATGGAGCAAGGATAAGAACAGAGTCCTGCATCTGATCTGCAAACGATATTATTTAAAGGAATAACAAAGTAGGTGATAAACTTGCCAGTGTCTCCATCTTGTCCACAGAATTCCAGAAGGACTCTTATTAAAATCCAGATAGAATCTGGCCTCAGTTGATTGATATACAGTTGAGCTGTTCTATCATTTTCATAAATTAACCCTAAAAATTATGCAGTATTTTCCTTATAATTTTTATTCATATTGAAATCTGTCTCACAGTAATAATATTTTTCTCTTTTACGGACTTATACTTTTGATAATTTGGTTTGGAATTATGTATTAACATTGAAGTAATGGGTCTATCATTTGTATAATTACTGTTTGTTAGTTTTTAAATGAAATATGTTATATAATTGTGGACCATCTTTACAGTGTACTTAGAGATACTTTCAAAGAAATACAAGTGATGATAGTTGAGGAATAAAAACTTGGAAAATGGGAAAGGAAGTGCCACAAATATAAAAACATAATGTTGAAGGGCAGTCTGCTATATGTGATGATTTTTGTTGTTTTAATTCCACAACATTTGCAACACTCCTTCCTCCAAAGAGGAGAAGCTAATTATCCTGATCTGTCAGTTTACTGTACTGTGGTGGCTTGTATGTACTGTCATGCTGAAAGATATGCCTCAGATATATTTATAATGGACTGTGCAAAACCTGTAGTCAGAAAACCAAAGGGGAAGAACATGCCCAGCATTTCTAACACCAAAAAAACTGAAGAAAAATTCAAGTTTCAAGTTGAAATGCTGAAGGATACTATGAGCAGATACTGGAATAGGCACGGAGCATCAAAAGAAGATGAAGGGAATTCACTGTACCCAAAAGAAATGATCCATGTTCAACCATTTCAAGAGGTAACATAGGATCAAGAATCGATGATGGCATTGAAAGAAGTCCCAGCTGAACTGAAGAAAATAATGGAAAATAAGCTCCAATATTTGACAGAATACAAATTGAAATGTATCAAGAAACTGAGGCAGCTCACTCTTCTATGCTAAGAATTTAGAAGACAGTCATTTGGTAAGCAGTCTCATAGAGATTCATATTTGTACCCCTTCCAAAGAAAGGTAGCCCAACAGAATGAAGAAATAATCTAACCCTAGTTCTGGTAGCATAGGGGATTTAACCCTAGTTCTGGTAGCACTAGGGGTTATGAGTCAGGCTGCTAACCTCAAGGCAAGCAGTTCTAAACTGCCAGCTATTCCACAGGAAAAAGATGAGGCTTTCTGCTACCATAAGGATTTACAGCCTTGGAAACCCCATATAGGGTGGCTATGAGTAGGAACTGACTCCATGGCACACCCCTACCACCATCATTAATATCACATGAAAGTAAAATTTTGATGAAGATAATTTTAAAATGGTTACAGTAGTGCACTGACAGGGAACTGCCAGAAATTCAAGCCAAGATTGGAAGAGGAAGTGCACTTGTTGACATCACGTGGATCTTGGTTAAAAGTAGAGAATACCAGAAAGATGTTTACTTGTGCTTTATTGACTATGCAAAGGCTTTTGACTGTGTGGATCATAACAAACTAAGGCTAGCATTTCAAAGAATGGGTATTTCAGAACACATAATTGTGCTCATTAGTACCCTATACATAGACTAATAAGCAATCATTAGAACAGAACAAGGGATAGTGAATGGTTTAAAATCAGGAAAGGTGTGTGCCAAAAGTTGTATGCATTCACCATACTTATTCAATCTATATGCTGAACAAATAATAAAAGAAGTTGGATTATGTGACTAACATGGCAACAGGACCAGAGGAAGACCCATTACAAGCTGTGATATGCAGATGACACAACATTGCTTGCTGGAAGTGAAGAGAACTTGAAGATCAAAAACTATAGCCTTCAGTATAGGGTGCACCTCAATGTAGAGAAAATGAAAATATTCACAACTGGAGCAATGAATAACATCATGATCAATGGAGAAAATATTGAAATCATGAAATAGTTCATTTTACTTGGTTCCTCAATCAATGCTCATGGAAACAACAGTTAAAAAAAAAAAAAATTGGATGATATATTGCATTTGGCAAATCTGCTGCAAAAAACCTCTTTAAAGTGTTAAACAGCAAAGAAGTTTGCTATTAGACTGAGGTGCACCTGATCCAAGTCATGGTATTTTTAGTTGCTATATATATGTGGTAAAGACTGGACAAGGAGTAAGAAAGACCATAAAAGAATTGATGTACTCGAATTATGGTTTTTGGAAAGAATATCATGGACTGAAAATATCATGGATTGCCAGGAGAACAAATAAACCTGTTCTGGAAGAAATATGGCTAAATTGCTCCTTGGAAGCCAGATGGTAAGACTTTGTCTTTCATACTTCAGGCATATTTTTAGGAAGGACCAGTCCTTGGAAAGGGACATTATGTTTGGTGAACTGAAGTGTTCGTGAAAATGAAGAAGACCACCAAGGAGGTGGATTGACCCAGTGGCAAAAATAATGGGTCAAACAGAACAATTATGAGGATGAGGCAAGACTGGGTAGTGTTTCATCTGTGTGCATTGGGTCGATATGAGTCCTAACCAACTCAAAGGCACCTACCAATAACAACAATTTCCTCCACTTGAGTGTGAGCTGGACTTAGTGACTCACTTCTAAAGAATAGATAGCTGAAGTGACAATGTGTCATAGGAGCCAACACCGCTTCTTCCTCTCCTTCTCAGATCATTGGCTGTGAGGAAATGTAACTCTCCCTCTATGAGAGACCCATGTGGCAAGAAAGTGATGCCTCCTCCCAAAAGCCATTTCAGAAATAAATCTTCCAGTTCAGTCAAGCCATCAGATATACTGTAACCAAAAGACAAGAGTCTGGCTTAGCAAAAGTCAGCCAAGCCACTCTCAATTTCTTGACCTGTAGAAATTGTGAGATAATATAGTTTTATCGTTTTAAGCCAATACATTTTTAGGTAAATTTTTTGCACGGCAATAGAATAACTGATATACTAGGAGTTTGTTGGTACTTTTATTCCTCAGTGTTTTAATTCAGATATTGGGAGAATTCTAATACTTAGAGATACATGTCTCTATTAAGCAGCTAAACAATTAAGAGAATTTAACATACAAAAATATGTTTTTGATTATACGTAGAAATGACTACTTTGATAAGCAAGTAACTCTAAAGGACTCTATTTTACACACACAGTTAGAGAAATACTCATATTATTTCTATGAATTTTCATTTTTAGTAGAAAGTCCTTTCAGAATTTTAAAAAACAGATCAAGACATAATTGGAACTTACAACTGCATCTTGGTGTAGGTACCCAGCCATTGCTAGTGCACAGTGCTGTATTTCCCCTGGTTGTAGGATAAAAGCCATCTTTACACATGTAGGTGATTTGATCTTCCCTTCTGTGTGTAATCCTTGCAGGTTTGAAGAAACCATTTTCAATAACAGGAGGATTACATATGACTTCTAAAAAGAAATAGGATGTAATTCATGGAAATGAAATAGTAGCGTCTATATCCTCAGCACCATACAAAGGTATCATAAAAATGAACTAAGGCTCATCTCCTTCCCGCTTTATGACTCACATATCTGTCCATTATATTTGATCTCAGATGTATCTGTGCTCCTTGGATTCCTGATCCTTCTATTTCTATACAGCCATCCCATACTTCATGGCATTCTATATTTGGCAAGGATCTCAACTATCATTATATCACTTTATTCCAGAATAGGTGATGTCTACAAAATTTAATATTATACTTGAGCAAAAATAAATTGTTTATATTCAAAAGATAATATGACTTAAAAAGATTGTTGTCAGATTCATCATCAAAAAGAACATATCAAGATCTGTCTTGAAGTACAGAATTTCTCTGCTAAAGAAGCAGCAAGACTTCCTGTTTGGGTGGCACTAGAGAAAGCCCTGTATGGAAGTCCCTGTGGTAGGACTGGGAACTCACGGAGGAAGCGCTCACAGAACAACTCCAGAGCTCTGGATCTACCACAGGTCCAGGATGTTAGTTTCCCACACTTGCAAGTGAAAATATCACAATATTAAGGAAAATACTGTGAGTTAGGAATCTGGAGATAGGACTCCCTCTGCGGCCACCCTGCCCTGGGAGAGTTTAGAGAGAGTGGCTACAGCCAGATGGGCTCAGGGAACCAGTGCTAAAAGTGTTGCAGAGACATTTTCAAAAAGAGGCACAGGGAACTCTATACATTTCTCCCTCCTTCTCCCTGTCGCATAAGAAAATACAAAACTGTATAAATATTTTATCTTAATAAATATTAGTATAGATTATATTCAAACATTTTTCTGGTTGTTGTTGTTGTCAGGTGCCATCGAGTCAGAACCGACTCATAGCAATCCCATGCACAGCAGAACGAAACAATGTCCGATCCTGGGCCA